AATTAATAACAGTACGAAAAGAACAATATGCAACCGGAAAACGAACAAATCACTCACTTATGCCGACACAAGACATTATCCCAAGCCGCCTCCCGACTCCACCCAATTGCCATATCAACTACAGGCTCCATACGTATGCTTTCAATTGAAATATGCTTCTTTTTCGCAATAGCTCTGGAAATGGAAATGGTATGTTAAAGAGTCATGCTGAGGCAACGCTAAAAACTGAAAATATAATTACCTAGACATTGTTCCTGCGCTACCAAGCTTCTGTCGCATAGTGTCTACATTCACCATATACTTTCGAACAGAGCCATCCAACCCAGATGACAAAATCTGAAGCGTACAGGAACTTCAAAAATACTGAAAAACTGTTGAGGGCGAGCTTTTGAATGGGGCTATCTGCTCTCCAAGCATTACAGTAAACATGGAACCTTCGACTAGTTGTAAATCAACTCGCGATGGTATCGGTAACCATCTTCCTATCCCATCTTTAACATGGTTTACCTCTTGTTTCCCGTTGAACTGCACTGCAGTTACTCCTTCTGCGTGTCCTTCTAGGATAACCAGTTGTCGGGGCATATCATCACCTCCATCAAGCACCCAAGTCCGTAAGGAGTTATCCGCGGATGCTGACACCTTAAAATGCACAAATGTCGTCAATAAGGGAAAAGGATCTGGATGTTAAACAATACCATAATGGGTTCTCCAGGCATGAAATAAAGCTCAGTGACAGCGGCATGATGAACATCAGTAATTTTTCCGACCAACTGACGTTTTTCCAGATTCCATACTGCGATGTCACCGTCGACATCAGCAGTGGTCATGAGAGGCTTGTCGTCTTTTCTAGAATGAACTAAATTGAGAGAACACAGTAAACCATTTCTATTCAGCCCTTGCTGCGCTGAAAAGCAGCAACTGACCTGAAGCCAATGGCTGATATCCCTCTCTCATGTCGGAATTTGCATACAGTCTCATCTACTCGAATATTATGCAGAATAACATGCCCATTTTCGAGGCCTATAGCCATTACATCAACTGCAGGTGATTGCTCAAGTACTGTGACAGCCGCATCAAAACCTGAACAACACAGCGTCATATTGAAAGCTATGCGGAGGACAGAAAAGGATATTATAAGGATTTTGGAGTAACAGTTTGAGCTGAAAACTGTGCTTTCAGAATATTAGACCCGTTCGAAACTGGAAAGCAAAAAATTTCATGAAATTACCTTTAGAGAACTCATGGATGATACGGCCAGTGCGGAAATTCACAATTCGCATTGTTCCAATGGAAGAACCGATTAGGATCTGAATATCCCTGTTTTGTAGGTTTAATAGATGCATTTCTTAGAAATTAGTTAGAGCATTAATAAGGTCTCCTACAAAAAGAAAACGAGAAAGTAAAATGGAAGAGCCGCTTACTTTGTACAGGTAGGTGCTTGGGTGAACCATAGCTGTGACCCGGAACTCTTTTGAACCTTCCATGTGGAGAAGTTTTTGTCCATCAGGAATGTTGAAAACGCGAATGCCATTCTCTTCATCAATAAGAACCTACCGAAACCAAGAATTCAAGCAAATGGCTTTCAAACAGGCGAATATAGGGATACCGTAGCACAGTTTTCATCTTATGAGGGTACAAAATGAAATTATAAACTCACTAAGTAGTCACCCAAGGTCATCATAAACTTGGTCTTTGCTCTGACATCTATATACCGATCTATATGGCGACAAGTCTTCATTACAGCCACCACTGTTCCTGATGCGACAAATACGCCGCTGAAGAAAAATTGCAATTGGTAAGAGTTTTATAAATAAATACTTTAAGATGGAGGGCGAAGTAAGCCAAGGGTAAAGACTAACGTTCGATCAGCTGCAATGGCAGTTACGTCATCCGGAAGGACATCCGAAATGCCGATAAGCCTGAGCTTTTCTGCTTTGTAATGGAGTATGACATTGTCGACAGGGCACAACAATGAGGTCATTCTGTAAAGAAGTACATTGAAATTTAGAAAGTGCAAGAAAACAAATCAACTTTTCACAGTAGACCAGA